CCGGTGCAACTGACCACATGACACATATGTCCTCCTTATTCTCTTCATATCAATTGTTGTCTGGTCATGATAAGATGAGAGTTGCTGACGGGTCTTTCTCCACCATCTCTGGAAAAGGGGTGGTTGACCTAAGCAAGGACCTCTCTCTTAAATCAGTCCTACATGTTCCCAGTCTCACCTCAAATCTTTTGTCTGTTTCAAAATTTACCAAAAATTTGAATTGTAGTATAATCTTTTTTCCTACTCATTGTGTCTTTCAAGACAGATTGATGAGGAGAACGATTGGGAGTGGTCATGAGTATGGAGGCCTCTACTATTTTGATGCAGACATCCGTTCAGCCTTACAAGCCTTTACTGCTAGTAGTCCGGAGAGTGTGGAGTCAATARCTAGGTTGCATCTGTGGCATGCTAGGCTAGGTCATTTACCTTTCTCTTCATTAGAAATGTTGTTTCCCGAATTGTTTAAGGGCATTTCAAGTCGGAGTTTAGTTTGTGAAGTATGTCAAATGTCAAAACAATGTAGAACTATTTATCCAATTTCCAGTAATGAAATTCGAGCTCCTTGTGATTTGGTTCATTCTGATGTTTGGGGCCCTTCACCTATTGTTTCTATTGATGGTTTTCGTTACTTTATCAGTTTTATTGACCACTACTCTCGATGCACATGGATTTACCTGTTAAAAGGACGAGATGAAGTGCCACAGATAACTATGGCATTTTGCAAAATGATTGAAACACAATTTGATAAGAAGATTACGCAATTCCGGTCAGATAATGCTGCTGAATATTTTGAAAAATCCTTGAATTTATTCATGGAAGATGCTGGCATGTTACATCAATCATCCTGTGCTTATACCCCTCAGCAGAATGGGGTTGTTGAGCGCAAGAATAGACATCTATTGGAGACAGCTCGAGCCTTACTATTCCAGCACAAGGTTCCCAAGCAATACTAGTATCAAGCTGTACTTACTGCATCATATCTAATAAATCGGATGCCATCTAAGGTGTTGGGTATGAAAACCCCTTTCTTTGTTCTGTGTCCTAAGCTGGATCCTCGGGCTACGAAAGGAATATTTTTGGGGTATTCTCCTACGCAAAAGGGTTACAAGTGTTATGATCCTGTCTCCAAGAGAAAGTATGTCACTAGAGATGTGGTATTTTTTGAGTCTCAACCCTATTTTCAGTCTTCTCAAAATCCTCTTCAGGGGGAGACTAGTGGGATAGAAGAGGATTCTCAATTCTCCCTCTTTTTTTGTTCCCCTATCTGCCTCGGGCCTTCCATCCTCTTCTTCTACTCCTAGTTGTGGCATCCCGGGTCAACCTAGTGAGGCTCCCACTGTACCGGTTACTTCTCCTGATACTGCAGATGTCCCTGAAGGCTCCAGTAGGCAACAGAAAGAGATACAAATCACCTACAACAAAA